GAGGCTAGGGCGTGGCGGACGCGGGAGCGCGGACGAGTGCGCGAGCGCGGGCGCGGCGTCAGGGCGAGGCAGGGCGGGTGACGAGCGTGGCAAGGCGACGCGTGCGAGCCGCGGGCGTGCCAGGCGGCGGGCGAGCTGTGGGCGCGTACAGCCTTGCCCGACTGTTGTTGCCCAGCGGGCACGACGGGCGTGCGCGCGTGCCGCTGCACTTCCACCCACGACGCGGCGCACGAGCTCCAGCTCGTTCAGCGGAGGCGGGGGCGGGGTCGCCACGGCAGGGCCACGAGCGGCTGGGCGGCGCCGTGGGGAGTGGTGGTTGGGGCAGCGGGACGACGCGGGCGGCCGGGCTCAGCGAGCGCGGCGAGATTCCAGGGGCGGACGTTTTGGGTCGCTCTGTTGCGGTGGGCGCCTCGAATATAAGACGGAGACGCATGTTCATTTTCGTCCTCATTGCTATCCCAAACGAATGAAATTTGAATAAAACGGACGTCCGTTTGGAGCCATGCGGTGGAGTTGGCCCTACGTCATAAGGGCATATACGCATTGGATACATATGAAGTTGGGATCTGGCTTGCCTGCTTCTTCCACATGCTCCCATCCGTGCTCCCACTTCGTCCTACGTTTTTTTTTCTCTTTTCTTTCTAATCTAATTATCTCTTCTCTCTGATTTTAAGAGGGTGAGTCCGGATCTTATTTTGTCCAATCAAATCAAGCCACGTACGCGGGAATACGGATGGGCACACACCGGAGGAGCAAGCAAGTCTCGTCCATGAAGTTGCACGGAAGTCTCAGTTCCATGCGCTGATGTGGATGGCCTGGGGCAGCATCATGGTACTGCTTCCATTGTACATGCACTTAGGTGCTTGGATGAGTGACTCCTGAGGGAGGCAGATGCCGGCCGATGAGACCAAGCGCTGGATGCTATGCTAGGTTCGAGCTCGAAAAATATTACTTCCGGCCACGGCTTGGCAAAAGTTGGTTCACAACTCGGAGACTATTTACAAAACACAATAAGAAAATGTGAAGCAGAGATAAGAAGAGAGAAGGGATTGACGCATGGCTGATGGAAGGATGAGAATGCACTGTGGATTAACGAGTTACACCACAGCTAGCGAAGTCGACCATGATTAGTGGGGTGATTAGTGCAATTGTATATTTGGTTGACATGTTCTACACGTTTGTATCACTACAAAAGATACACAAACAACGTTGTCGAATTTTCAGATTGTGTCTATGTGACGTGTCAAATCATTCTACGAGTATTCATGAATATTATTATGTTGATGTCAATTACTTCATCGTTTCTCAATATTTATACCGTAAAAAAATTACATGATAAATATGGTAGGTAGGAGTAGCATTCAACATCAAAAATTCTGTTTTCATCGTTTACCTACTCGAAGACGAGCAGTAATTAAACTTGGAATGTTGATATGTCTTCAATATACCTATAATTTCTTTCATTTCATGATATTATATTATCAATCTTATATACTTTCTATATAATTTTATATTATTTTTGAGAACTAACCTATTTATAACACTTAAATAGTTTATTCCCACTATCTTATTTTTCTTAACATGCAGTCTATTCACTTCATCAGTGGCGGAGCCAGCACACAAGCGTTGGGTTCAAGTGAACCCAACAACTTTTTCTATGTACCTGCGTGTAGTGCATGTTTGGTTCACCTGAACCCAGTAAAAAATCATGCCTGACCCCAATAACGTGAGGTGGTCATGTGAACAGCGTAAGCAAAGGGCCCAAAAGCTCATGGGTCGTCAATGTCTAGGCGCCCAGCTGGCCAGGCCTAAACCGTGATTAGTCACGTAGTCTGTACTCACATTTTGTATACGTATATGCACGCACGCACGCACGCAGCCACACGCCTCCTCGGGACTCGGGTCGTCATCTGTTCGTTTTCCAATTCGCATCTCTCCTCTAGTCTATTCGTGTTCCTCGGCAGCGTCTCGGCCGCCGCACACCAGCAGCAGGCAGGCTGCTACAGATCCACAGCGGCAACAATCTTAGAGGTGTTTGTTTTCAGGGACTTTTTTGTATAGGGACTAGAAAAAGTCTTTTTTAGAGACTTTTTTTTATCAAACGGGAAGGACTTTTTAAGG